AATCTAATCAGGGTACAGTATCTTATGCCTTTGTGGTTTTTAACCTTTGAGGCAAACATTTTTTAAAACTTATATTTATTAATTTGAGAGAGAGAGAGAGAGAGAGAGAGAGAGAGAGAGAGAGAGGTGGGGGGAGAGAAACATCAATTTTGTTGTTCCACCTGTCCATGCATTCACTGGTTGATTTTTGTATGTGCCCCGACTGGGGATCAAACCCATAGCCTTGGTATATCCGGATGATGCTCTAACCAACTGAGCTACCCCACAAGGGTCAAGGCAGCTATAGTAAACCTTGCAGAGGGAACCTGACTTTTTACTGAATAAATGAACATTGATTTGTAGGTGACTTTGGTGTTAACTTGGAATTAGTTGCTGAATGCATGTATAATCCTTAAATTCTATTCTGAGATCCAAATGCTTCTATGACAGGGGTGGGCGACTTTTTTGTGAGTGCGTGCCAAAACCAGCAAAATCTCTGACTCAAAATTTTCTGCGTGCCAACCCTAATTTTTTGAGAACATGTTACGCCTACTTGATATCTCTTAAGGTGTACGTATGTGAAGAACCTTGAAGAAATAATAGAATTCATTCGAGCAACAAAAACACAGTATATGATGATGAAAAATACATTTATTTTTTAATGTATACATGTACATTGATAGTCTGACAGAAAACTTTATGGCTCCATTTGATATTACCAGTGGGACTTTTGCTGCTGCACACTGATGACAGAGATTTTACATGAGGTTTCTATTTCGTGACCTTCAGAGATATGCACGAGCTACTACTTTCATCTATCAGGCTACTCCTATTAGGAGACTTAACAAAATTCATCACTGAGAACAAAGATTCACAAGTGTATGTGGATGAAACCAAAACACTGGTCAGATCTAGGAAGGCATGGAGAGTTAAGGCAGAGGCATAGAAATTGCTCTTCCCTTCTCTCGTTAATCCATGTTTATGGTCTTTAAGATAACTTGTTGTGTAAAATTATTTATCTAAGATGCACCTACACTGAATTTATCTGAAAAATAAAAAAGTCGATATTGCTAGGGGACTGTCTAGGGCGGGGGGAAAAATGGACACATATGTAATACCATTTGTAATACTTTAAGCAATAAAAAAAAATAAAACAGCCATTCGTTAACTGTAATAAAAAAAAGTCGATATTAAAAAAATTGTAAATGGAAGATTATAAGAGAGGGTTTCGCATGCCAGCAAATGTTACTGGCGTGCCATGTTTGGCACCTGTGCCAGGGGTTGCCCACCTCTGTTCTATGATTTGTATAACTGCAAAGATCCCCCCGCCCCATTTTAAATTGAACTATGAGGATGTTGGGAGTTTATTTAAATTTAGTAATCTGTATAATCTGTGAATAGCTATGTGTTGTTTGGGGCCCTTTCTCTGCCCATTTACTTCTGATTGTGCTGATGTAAGTATCCTATCTAATAAAAGAGAAACATGGTAATTAGCGTATGACTGCTACCCTTCCAATTGGCTAATCAGGGCGATATGCAAATTAACTGCCAGCCAAGATGGCGGCCAGCAGCCAGGCAGCTTGAAACTAACATGAGGCTTGCTTGCTTCAGTGACGGAGGAAACCAACGTTC